CCGGATTTCATGTCCAGACTACTTGTCTCAACGTTCAATGTTAAGACATCCAGGATATTTTTATCTTGAAGACTAACCATATGATCAGGATAACAATTGAAAAAGATTGGTCCATTGCTTAGGCTTGTTTCAACAGTTCCAAGTATAGAATCTGTAAATTTGTTATGCCTTGTATCACGAAGGCATAGAAGAACAGAAGCATTTAGACCTTCAATTCCAAGAGGTTTAATAGCCACTTGGACACATCCGATGTGCAGATAATTATAACTTTGTTTATGAGTTTGTATAGATGATTTTGAAAGGAGTTGAAATTCTTCAAAGTCATTATTTAAAGGGATATTTCTTTCAACTGTTCTGATGATATAGTCAGATTTCCGAAAGAAGTTTCCTTCGGGTTTGTACAGTTCGTTTGTTGGAATTCTGGGAATTTCCCAGTTATCCAGATCTTGATTGATATCTTCAAAGGAGATTTCTTCTTTAAAAATATTTTTTATTTGATTTTTAACTTGATCTTTATGGATGGAAGAAGAAGATGGCTGAGATGATTTGAAAGAGAATTTAGAAGAGAAAGATTTAAACATGATAATAAAACAGATGTATTTCCCAGATATCATCACCATCATTTGGATCCATAGTAATACAGAGATAGATGTAAATTAACTTTTATCAACTGAGCATTAGATTAAGACTTTAACGTAAATAAACAACAGATTGTCAGAGATCTTCTTGATCCCTTGTTCAACATCGGCAAATTTGACTTACTCCCTTCATATGGGACTTACTGCAACAGCTGAACAAGTTCTCAAGACTTTCATTTCTCATCCTACAATCATACATGCTTCTAACACATGTTAAAATGTTAACATAAAGCTCAGATAAATATCAGATAATTTAGATTTATCCATATATTCCTACTTCCCCATCAGGAAACATAAGAAAATTGATGAGAAGTTAAGTACATTAACCATTCCTGATACTCCGCAACATTCTGATCAAGAGACTCAACAGTCTCATAAATATAACACTCGGCCAACAAAAATTGTCAATACTCTGAGTCATTATGATGAATCTCCTGAGTCAGATAACAAATCTGAAATTAAAATTAATCCTATAACTGGTATTAATAATCGGAGAAACCCTTCCAAACTTTATTACCAAAAAGCTACTGCTTATGATCTTCTACTTGAAGAAAAGAATACAAGCTTCAAAAGTTTTAATGGTAACAATGTCTATGAATGGAACATAGATGGCCAATCAGAATATAACATACTCAATACTCTGCACCATATAACTATATATATATATATATATGGAGAGTAAGACTTGTAAATCTTACTCTGGAGTCAAAAGTTCCCTCTCCACACACACACATATATATATATATATTATCATTTCTCAAGCTGCTTAAGATAACTTTATCTCCGGTCACTAAATCATAATCGTACAAAGATGGATCAATGATGGTAAAGGAAGAGAGAGAAAAAGAGAATCATAACCATTCAAAAGTGAATCAATTAATATAAGAAAATAAATAAATAAAACGACATAGTTTTGAAGAAACCGGAGATAAATATATCTCAAGCAGCTTGAGAAATATTTCTCTCATATATATATATATGGATATATATATATATATATATGGATATATATATATATATATATATATATATATATATATATATATATATATATGGAGGACTTAAATGTTTCTACAGTGATGTAGATAAGTTATCTACATTCGCTCCTAAAACGACGTCGTTTTGGGTTGAAAAATTAAAAAATTATAGTGAAAAAGACTATTATAACCCTGAAATAAATTATAACTACAAAAATACATTGATTTTCGTCTCAATACGACGTCATTTTGGGCTCACTATAGATAAGTTATCTACATTGACTGTAGAAAAAATGAACCCATATATGGATTTATTATTTGTATTGTTACTGTATATAATGTTTCATATTGTCATCCCAAAACGACGTCGTTTTGGGTTGGATAAAGGAATTCGCATTCATAATTAATCGTAGAAAAAAATATTATTTATTTTCACCTTTGTATGGTTATGATTTCCCATATTTAATGCTTTATATTTATTTTCATCTTTATGTAGTTATGATTCTCCATATTTAATGATTTCACTCTATAAAATGACATAATTTTATATGACTATACTGATACTTAGGTGTAGTCATTGTACATTCGACAAACCCTATATATATAGGCTTTAACGTTTGTACAATGAATGAAGATATGGGTGTAAATAGGCTAGGCTTTAACTTAAATAGGCTAGGCCTGTGTAAAAAACATTGCGTCTAGCCTGGCCTATTAGCCTGTGTAGGCCCGCAATTACAAGTATGGCCTAACCTATATTTAAAAAATAAAGAAAGTCTTGACCTAGGCCTGTTAGCCTATTTAAGCCTATTAAACATTCAACAATTAAAAGAATAACAAAAATAATATTATTTTATTATTCAAAATTATTAAAATAATAATTTTATTTAAAATAAATTATAAGATATAGGTCGGCCTATAGCTTATAGGCCCGATATGTACAACAAAAGCTTATGGTCTGTTTTCTAAATAAGTTTATTTAAAAGCCTAAGCCTGTTCTACTTTACTAAACGGGGCGGGCTCAGTTTTTCAACCCATTTTAAAAGCGGGGCGGGGCGGGCTCATTTTTTGTCGGGCATAGGCGGGCCGAGGCGGGTCAGTGTAAAATAGGCTCGGGCTGGCCGGCCAACCAGCCCAACCCGCCAAACGGGGCGGGACGGACTGGCTCATTTTTTGGCAGGTTGATGGAGGGGCGGGGCGCCCACTTTGCCATCCCTAGATATGATATATACGGGGACAGATGATTATTTGACATAACATTATTAGAACTTAGAACTTCTTCAACATAAATGGGTTGAACAAGCGTGCTTTATTAATATAAAGGGTTTATACTATCATATACATATATGGATTTTATAATTCTCATTCAACATGAGAATTAAAATTTTTCTACACACCCTTGAATTTCTGTGCTAACATGGGTCTTACGTATAATTTTTTCTAACACATGGGTCCCACATGCTTTTTATCTCTACAACATAAGATTTCAATTCTCCTTCAACATGAGAATTATAAAACCCTATATATATATATATATATATATATATATATATATATATATATATATATGAGGCAGGATCTTTTGACATTGGTCTCAAATTTAAAGTTTGACACATCATCTAAAAGCCGTTAGATAAAAAAAGATCATATATGTTGAAGAAATATAAACCCTTTATATTAATAAAGCACGCTTGTTCAACCCATTTATGTTGAAGAAGTTCTAAGTTATAATAATATTATGTCAAATAATCATCTGTCCCCATATATATCATATCAATCTGTTCGATGAACATTTACTAGTTATTATTAATTATCTGATAATGACTATATATGGATGAGACTAGACATTGGCTATATATATGATAGTATAAACCCTTTATATTAATAAAGCACGCTTGTTCAACCCATTTATGTTGAAGAAGTTCTAAGTTCTAATAATATTATGTCAAAGAATCATCTGTCCCCATATATATCATATCAATCTGTTCGATGAACATTTTTTTTTAGTAACGTGTTCGATGAACATTTTTTTTTAGTAAGTTCGATGAACATTTACTAGTTATTACTAATTATCTGACAATGACTATATATATGGATGAGACTAGGCATTGGCAGTTTGACCAAAATTAAAATAACACCATAAATTAATTTGAAATATAACTTTGCTCTTATTGATATAGTCAATCTCACACACTGTTCCACGTATATATTTTCCTCGCATATTTTTACATGCATTCGGTGTCTTAGCATTGTTCGTCAGGGCTCATATGTGTATAACAAGCAATTGAGTTTTCACCTTTGGGTACTGAGAAAAAGGAATGAATTTTTTCATGCCTTAATTTAACATGATTACGAAAAATTTTAATAATTTTTTTTAGATCAACAGTTATAAATATAATGACAAAACTTGATATCTATAAAAAACAAAAATTATTTTAATTATTTTCCATTTATCTATCAATAAATAAATGAAATTTTCCAATAATTAGGTTAAAATAAGACAAAATTATTCCCTACTTTCGGCCTTTTAATAAAGGCTTCCTTTACGTGTTTTCTGAAATTCTATATATACTCTGTAGAATCATGCCAACCATATTGCAGTAGACTGAAATTCTACGCACTATATCACGCAATCTCGTGACATATTGTATTAGTAACGGCACTCTAAATATTTGCATAGCTGCAATAAATCATCTCATCTCTTGTTTTGATACGATTATATCATATAAAAAAAATCTTAATTATTCATTTGAAGGACAATTAAAATAGAAACTTTCACTTTCCGTTTTTTTTTTTTTTGGTAATTATCAACCATTGTCTAAAGTCCTAATGAGCTTAACTAATCTGGTTTCATGTTTGAACCTCATCCTCATTCTCAGAAATTGTAATCTCAAAAATTGAACATGTTATCCTTTGAGCAGGTCAAATCTTGGCATCTAGATGAGATGTTATTAGACTAACAACAATTGAGTTTTGGCATATGCTAGAAAATTATCTTTTCTTATGAAAGATAAGAAAAGCAATCCCCTTTAATAAATATTACTAACTGAAATTTTTGGCATAACAAAATCACATTAAAACAATACATGATAGTAGCCTACAAAAGAGACGTGATTAAGTTGAACAAGCATTATTTGAGTTATAATAAATTAAGATAGACTAAAAAGGCAGGCTTGAACGGCATACACCATGCTTACCCCGCATGCATTGTTTTTTTTTTTTTTTTTAATTAGATGGAAATTGCGTTCAATCCCTGTCATGAAAACCACTCCTTTGATCAAAAGAAAATTGCGTTCAATCCCTGTCATGAAAACCACTCCTTTCAAAAGAATAAGAACCATCACCCGAACCATCACCCGAACCATAATCTCCCTTGGGAGCAATCTGGTTATCTCCAATTATATATCTGCTGTTGATCAGACACAGAAGTATATATTGATGAGAACAATGTTGAACTCGAATCCTCATTGGAATGATAATGAAGACCCGAAGTAGCACGTTGAACATCATCATCATCCCTACTCCAAAGCAGCTGCGCGTACTGCATTAGGTTTGGAAAACCTTCTTCATTAGATAATAAGGTAGGTGCAAGAGGTTGATCATAAACAGGCAATGCCGAAGTAGAAGTAAAAGCAGAGGTCGAAACAAGAGCCGAAGCTGAAGTAGTAGAGTAGGCTGATGAAGCAACAACACGTTCAGGAAAATTGAGCTTGGCTTTGGTTCCTTTGAATTTCAAAGCAGCATCATCATATGCAAATGCTGCAGCTTCTGCCGTGTCAAACGTGCCAAGCCACACTCTAGCTGCTTTTTTAGGGTCACGGATTTCGGCTGCCCATTTGCCCCATGGTCTCTGCCTAACACCTCTATAGTGTCTTTTTCTCTCATTGCCTTAATTAGAATTTGAATTAGAGATATGCTTTTATACGTTAGGCCATTTTAGTCCAACTTGCCATTTATAAACACATCAACTAGGCTAAGCAAACCAATGGAAAATAATGCACATAAACCAAATTAACCAATTGTCTCAACAATCAACATCATCATATATAAAACGATCATCTTGGAAGGAGATAAAGGGAGTGTCATCTCAACTGGGTATATCAAGAAGCCAACAAAATTTTATTGTTATGAAGAAAAATGAAAAAAAAATTAAGTAAATCATAACTAATTAATAATTAATCTCACTAATTGCACTAAGGCTAGTGGTGAAAATATATTCATAAATATTTTTTAAAACACATAAAATAAGCAGATCTCCTTATAAGTGAACTATATATATTTTTTCAGTTCAAAAAATTAAAGAAAAATTATTGATCCAAATTGGAAAGTATTGATATATAGTACTTTATAGCATCATTGGTAATATAAATTGAGAAAATTAAAGGAAGTGCATGAACCTGGAAAATTTTACCTTGATGTAAAGGCTGCTTGGGTGGGTCCTGCATCTCAATCAAGCCAGAAGTTCTTAACTGCCCTTGTGGGATTGGGATTGAGAAGGTGCTATCACTAGTGGTATTGATTGGATATATAAAAGGGTATGGTAAGCCTCTTCCCTTTGGATCTTAGATGGTGATGGGTGCACAGAAAAATTGAAAGTTTCCATTTTCTCCCCTGATGCATGATCAGAAGGGAGAGGCCTCTTCCCATGCCTTGGATCCACCTTGCTTAACTCTCTGTGAAAGGTTTTTTCTATACCTATATATGCATACAATAAGCCTCTATGAGCCTTGTAGCTATGTCTTGATAAAAGCAGATCTAAAATTTCTTTAAGAGAAGAGTACTGATTGAAGATGAACTAAACCAAGATCGATCAAAAGAAGGGAAACTTCTTGTCTTCATCTTTTAAATAAGAAAGAGAAAGTTTGAGGGACAAAAACAAAATCATATTTACAAGACGAAGGAAAATGAGGGGAAAAATAAAAGCTAAATATCACCTAGGGTTTTTTTTATTCAAATAAGAGAGAAATAGATACTTGGTAGGTTTCAAGAAAGAGGTTTATAGTGATTGTTGTATATTCCAATTTATATCTATATTCTATATTATATAATAAAATATTCTTGAATATTTAATATTATTATTAAATACTAAATCATAAATGTCATTTTGAGAAATAGCTATTTATATTATTAATTATCAATTTTTTGGTCAAATAATATTGTTGTGCTAATAATAATCTAAATTTATGATCAATGAAATTATAAAAAAAAAAGCTAAAACTTATAATATTTATCATAAAAGTTATTTAATTTTATTTTTTTGGTATACCTAGTAGATATTCCCACTCAGCCATCTCTAGTCTATTTTGTCTTTGGAGTATGACACTAGAATTAGCTTCTCATTTAAACTAGTATAACCCAAAATAATTAAATTATGTTAATGGGAATTATTTTGTAATTAAAAAGGATTATTTAGATGAAAAATATAATTTTTCAAGTTAAGTTACTTTTCAAAGCAAAAGTGCAAATAGTGAAAGTTTCGAGATAATAATGCAGTCAATCAAAATTATCCAAAACTTAGTAATAATAATTTAGTGGAAACCACTCCCACTCTCATGAAGGGTAAATGAGTCTTTACCCGTTTAGATATTTTGACTAATTCAAAATATCACCAAACACTCTCTTTCTCTCCTCTAATTTGCTTCACCCATTGTGACTTTCCTTCCTTCCATGACCGAGGAACTATTTCTTTTTTCTCTTCTTGATTGATCGACCAAACCATTAAGAGTGGTATATTTGCTTCATCTTTTACACTTCATCTTCTATAAACACCAAAGCCCACATACCATTTTCATCTTAGAACTAATCTCCTTTTGAGAGAGATTGGTGAATGCTGCAGCAGGGGGATCTTTGACAACAAAAACTCCAAAGGAAGCGCTGGAATTGTTGGAATCTTTAGCTTCTCAGGAGTATGATAAATGCCCCAGTTTCACGCATGAGAGCGGGAATCATGAAGCTTGACGACTATGATGCAATATTGGCCCAGAATGAACAAATACTACAAATTAATAAGAAACAACAAGAACAATTAGATGCTCTTGCAAAGCAATTTTCTAATTGTCAAGTTTCTTCTGTTACTAATTCTAAAGTTACTTGTGGTATTTGTGCAGGTACTCGTGCAACTGAAGATTGTGATTACATGAGGACACCTAAGAATGCTGAAGTCAATGGAATCTGGTATGATCAAAGGAACCAGAACAATCTAGGGAGGAACCAATATGGGAATAACTATAATCAAGGGTGGAAAAATCAAAATCAACACCCAGGGTTAAGTTACAAATCAAATCATCAACTGAATCCTCCTCTACCAGTGCAACAACAGCCCCCACCACAAGGTAATACTTCAGAGTGGGAGAAAGCCTTTGCACAGCTGTCCAAGACCACCTCAGACTATATTCAGAATGCAAATGCCTTCAGAGATGAAACAAGAGCTTCATTCCGAAATCAAGAAGCTTCTATCTGGAACTTGGAAACTCAAATTGGCCAATTGTCAAGACAGTTCACTGAAAGAACTCATGGCACTTTCCTGAGTAACACAGACACCAACCCAAATGCACAATGTAAGTCTATTGTTACTAGAAGTGAGATCGTGATCCAACCTGTGAAAACGCCTCCAGTGGAGAAAAAGATGCACAATGTAAGAATCAGACGCTGAGACGACATGCTCGCAAGATGGAAATGGCAGAGAGTCTTGGCAACTCAGAGGTAAATTCTACAAAATGATTCCTCTCTATTTTCATTCATGCAAGTGCTTCTTTGTTTTATTCTTCGATTAATGTTTTTTTTTCAGTTGTTCTGCATTTCTTTCACATTTTTTTTTCAATTCATTTCAGCATTTGAAGAACTCGGAGGATCAAATCGCAAGTTTTGACAATGTAGATGGAGTTAATGTGTCGTCGAAAAAAGTAAGAATGAGAAGCTGAGACGACGTGCTCGCAAGATGGCAATGGGAGAGAGTCTTGGCAACTCAGAGGTAAATTCTACAAAACGATTCCTCTCTATTTTCATTCATGCTAGTGCTTCTTGGTTTTATTCTTTGATTAAAGTTTTTTTTTGTTCTGCAATTCTTTCTCATTTTTTTTCAATTCATTTCAGCATTTAAAGAACTCGAAGGATCAAATCGCAGGCGTTAACAATGTAGATGAAGTTACTGTGTCGTCGAAGATAGTAAGAATGAGAAGCTGAGACGACGTGCTCGCAAGATGGTAATGAGAGAGTCTTGGCAATGATTCCTCTCTATTTTCGTTCATGCAAGTGCTTCTTTGTTTTATTCTTTGATTAATGTTTTTTTTCAGTTGTTCTGCATTTCTTTCTCATTTTTTTTTCAATTCATTTCAGCATTTGAAGAACTCGGAGGATCAAATCGCATGTGTTGACAATGTAGATGGAGTTACTGTGTCGTCGAAGAAAAGTAAGAATGAGAAGCTGAGACGACGTGCTCCAAAGGTGGTAATGGGAGAGAGTCTTGGCAACTCAGACGTAAATTCACGAAAAATGATTCCTCTCTATTTTCGTTCATGCAAGTGCTTCTTTGTTTTATTCTTTGATTAATGTTTTTTTTCAGTTGTTCTGCATTTCTTTCTCATTTTTTTTTTCAATTCATTTCAGCATTTGAAGAACTCGGAGGATCAAATCGCAGGTGTTGACAATGTAGATGGAGTTACTGTGTCGTCGAAGAAAAGTAAGAATGAGAAGCTGAGACGACGTGCTCCAAAGGTGGTAATGGGAGAGAGTCTTGGCAACTCAGAGGTAAATTCTACAAAATGATTCCTCTCTATTTTCCTTCATGCAAGTGCTTCTTGGTTTTATTCTTTGATTAATGTTTTTTTCTTTTATTCTGCATTTCTTCCTCATTTTTTTTTCAATTCATTTCAGCATTTGAAGAACTCGGAGGATCAAATCGCAGGTGTTGACAATGTAGATAGAGTTACTGTGTCGACGAAAAAACGTGAGAATGAGAAGCACGTGCTCGCAAGATGGTAATGGGAGAGAGTCTTGGCAACTCAGAGGTAAATTCTACAAAACGATTCCTCTCTATTTTCATTCATGTAAGTGCTTTTTGGTTTTATTCTTTGATTAATTTTTTTTTGTTCTGCATTTCTTTCTCATTTTTTTTCAATTTATTTCAGCATTTGAAGAAAATTCGGAGGATCAAATCGCAGGTGTTGACAATGTAGATGGAGTTACTGTGTCGTCGAAGAAAAGTAAGAATGAGAAGCTGAGACGACGGGCTCGCAAGGTGGTAATGGGAGAGAGTCTCGGCAACTCAGAGGTAAGTTCTACAAAATGATTCCTCTCTATTTTCATTCATGCAAGTGCTACTTGGTTTTATTCTTTGTTTAATGTTTTTTTCTGTTGTTTTGCATTTCTTCCTCATTTTTTTCAATTCATTTCAGCATTTGAAGATCTCGGAGGATCAAATTGCAGGTGTTGACAATGTAGATGGAGTTACTGTGTCGTCGAAGAAAAGTAAGAACGAAAAGCTGAGACGACGTGCTCGCAAGATGGTAATGGGAGAGTCTTGGCAACTCAGAGGTAAATTCTACAAAACGATTCCTCTCTATTTTCATTCATGCAAGTGCTTTTTGGTTTTATTCTTTGATTAATTTTTTTTTTGTTCTGCATTTCTTTCTCGTTTTTTTTCAATTTATTTCAGCATTTGAAGAAAATTCGGAGGATCAAATCGCAGGTGTTGACAATATAGATGGAGTTACTGTGTCATCGAAGAAAAGTAAGAATGAGACGCTGAGACGACGTGCTCGCAAGATGGAAATGGGAGAGAGTCTTGGCAACTCAGAGGTAAATTCTACAAAACGATTCCTCTCTATTTTCATTCATGCTAGTGCTTCTTGGTTTTATTCTTTGATTAATGTTTTTTTTTGTTCTGCATTTCTTTCTCATTTTTTTTCAATTCATTTCAGCATTTAAAGAACTCGAAGGATCAAATCGCAGGTGTTGACAATGTAGATGAAGTTACTGTGTCGTCGAAGATAGTAAGAATGAGAAGCTGAGACGACGTGCTCGCAAGATGGTAATGGGAGAGAGTCTTGGCAACTCAGAGGTAAATTCACGAAAAATGATTCCTCTCTATTTTCGTTCATGCAAGTGCTTCTTTGTTTTATTCTTTGATTAATGTTTTTTTTCAGTTGTTCTGCATTTCTTTCTCATTTTTTTTTCAATTCATTTCAGCATTTGAAGAACTCGGAGGATCAAATCGCAGGTGTTGACAATGTAGATGGAGTTACTGTGTCATCGAAGAAAAGTAAGAATGAGAAGCTGAGACACGTGCTCCAAAGGTGGTAATGGGAGAGAGTCTTGGCAACTCAGAGGTAAATTCTACAAAATGATTCCTCTCTATTTTCCTTCATGCAAGTGCTTCTTGGTTTTATTCTTTGATTAATGTTTTTTTCTTTTATTCTGCATTTCTTCTCATTTTTTTTTTCAATTC